AGAGAGAGAGAGAGACTCACTGTTCCCTTTGCGTAATAATTCTCCAGCTCCTTGAAAAAGTCCGTGAAGACGTACGCGTTCTGTTCGTAGAGGATGCCGTAAGTTTTCTTGAACATCTCGTGAAAACCTCGTTTGCTGGCCAACAAGAGATCTTTGAAAAAACCTGAAATTTTAATAGGAAACATGAGTCATGCAGTTCTGCTTATAATTATTAATTTTATAAGATAAGATTTTTAGCGATTCAATTTTTTTGCTAGTTTCTTCGTTTATGCGCGTGTTATTTATAATTAGATTATTTCTATATTTTCATAATTTGCTGTATAATCAATAATGTGTGTAATAAAGGAGAGAAGTCTCGGAAGAAATCCCGAGATGGCTTATCGCGAGTTTCCCCGGCGCTTTGACGGCTTTCCCAGCGGAAAATCGTGGTCGAACGCGAAACGGGAAATTAGTCGGGATTTTCAGGGTGCGAATCGTCGTCGTCGTGACGGGGTGGTTCGTGAGGTGGATGGTTCGTATCGCGAATTAAAAGTCCGGCGAACTTGCGGCAACTAGTCTCCTCCCCGTTCTGCCTCTCCATTCCCCTTTCTCCCCCCTCCCCCCGACATCCCTCTCGCCATGGATCGCGTCTGTGCTTTTTACACCCCCGACGGACACAGCGACGGAAAAGGGAGCCAGTCTCGTCGCTAAAAGGAATTTTAATCACATTCCCCGCGGCGGAAGTGACGATAAGGAGGTTGTTCATCGGTGAGCGAGGACGAGGAGGATGCGGGGATGCCGGTGAATCGGGGGCGGAAAAACGTTGCTTATCGTAGCGTTACAAGCGCACCGCGTGCACTGTGCTTTGTTCATCGAGAATTGTGAATCTATTTTATGCCCGAGTTTGAGCAAATGGTATAATAGTTTCTTCATTGACGTGACATTTCGATATCAGCATGTCCACGTGACGTGACGTTTGGAATTTATATCAGTGAAATATTATTATTAGATCATTTAACAATTGCACTTCGTCAGAGGGGTGAATCCTCGGTACATGACAGATCATACATTGACAGGGAGAAGTGAAGACAATAGGTCAGACGTAAATATCACATCACAGCTTTTATCGGACGAGTTAAAATGTAACAGTATAATATTTTACAATTAGCATCAGAATAAATTTAATCTCGTTATCAACGTTTCGAATTCAAGAGCTTTATTCATTAACACGTGATTCGTAAATGAAAGTGTAGTATTAAAAGTCTTTTAACAGTTCCTAAAAAAGTAATATATATTTTAGCATCGCTATCGAGAATTTTGCATTCGAAGAAATAAATATTACAAGCAGGAAATTTCATTCTTGCATTCCGTTCGATTTTAAAGTCATTCGTTCGTTGATATAAAAATTCACTTTTGAGAATCTTCCCGCTCAAAACGTCCATCGACACGAACGATATCTTTGATCGATTCCACTCGTGGTGTCAGCAATTAACGCGAAAATTAGGACACGTCCCAACTCGAGAGGCATCCTCCGAGTGTCTAACGATCTCGGTTAACGAAATTATTCGAAGGCCACAGCTTCTCACCGGTCTTTCATCTTTTCCGCTGCACGTCGCTTTTACGATCGAAGTCCCTTTGAGGTGTCACCGTTCAACTTGGCACCTGGTACCCACTTTAGTCGGCACTTCGCTAAATAGAAGTTCAGGAGCCTTTGCGAGGCACGGGTCTTCCATCGTTTATATAAAATGTACGACAGGTCGTACATTTCGTATATACATGCCTCTGAATCGAAACATTCTTGATCCTGTCAGTCTCAAGTTTTCGCGAGGAAAGAAATATATTTTACGTAATAATTCATAATCTCATAAGAATACTCATCTCTCGACATCGAAAAATTGTCTAAAAATGTCCTCCTGTTATTGATCACGTTGGAAAGAACAATTTTGCTGAAGTATCTGAAAATTTTTCCAGATTTGGATCTGAATATAATTTTATTAAATCGTCAGAATAATTTTATTGGGATTTTCAAATCGATTGCTAGAATATCAAAAATTTTTTGACAGTTTACAAAACACTTCAGCGTCTACAGAATTATTTTCATGATTCAACAACAATTTAAAATTATTTTCAGATCTGTATCTGGCTAAATTTTTACATACTTCAACAAAACTGTTCGTTTTTAAACGTAACACCCCTTCTCTTTCTTTTTTTCTCTTTATTTCTGGAATCTTTCAATTTCATTAAGTTATCTCGTATGCCAGAGACAATGCGATTTTCGCCGTTCATCGATATTTTACACACTGAAACGATAAGAAAAGTCTCGGGAAACTTAGTCTCGTGATTTATGCATGTTTCTCCGTCGCGGCGAGATGACTTTTCGCAGTCGAAGCTAAACCCCTTCAATTGTCTTTCTTGATTTCTTGATTTCGACCGCGTAGCCGATTGTTGTATATATAACTTAATAAACTTTATCAATTTTATTTTTAACAGACTCAAAGATTTTTTAATTCGTTACAGAATTAAATATGCATAGCAAGACGTTAGTTTTGCTGGCAAATCTAAAAAAAAATAGATTAGAAGGTCTAAAAATAATTTCGTTGGACTATCACAATTATTATACAAGACAGGTTAAACATGATAATAATACTACAAAAAAATGTTTATCTTCCAATAATTTAAACGTCGTAACATAAAGTCCAATAAAATTATTTTCAAATCTGACAAAATTTTTAGACTTGTAGACCAGCAGAATTGTTCCTCCCTTCAAACCGTGGCTTTGCAAAATATAAACGAAATACTAACGAAATACGAAAATGATTATTTTAATTACTTAAATGAGAGATTATTTAAATGTACAAAGGACGGCGCGTTCCATTATACACGGGGTAATGTCTTCGAAGAAGTTCTCTCTCTGCCGGAGTTGCTTCTTGCCGAGGCACGCAGCTGGCGTTCACGGCGGTAACGGATAGTGTTCGAAACGGCTTCAGGAGAGCACGAGTAATTATCGTTCTCGACACAGGCATTCCGAGTATTGTGCGAATTGTTAACGCTACCTACGCTAATTACGACGGCGCGCTCGCATTCAACGTCTGACTATTAATTGCAGCGAAGCAGATGCAATTGCATTTGTTTGTGCCGTACAAAAGATACGTAGATGTCCCCGATAGAGTTGCTTTTGTCCGCTATCGGAGACTTACAGACGTTGACAAATATAGATGCGACGGAAGATAATGCGAACAAGCAATAAAGTTAAGCACGAATTAAATATAACTCCGTCTACTCGAGGTTTTATAATTTAATCCCCTCCTCTATAGATAAAACGCTATTCTTAGGCCAAAGGAATAAAAACTAAATAGAGAAGGGAGTTAAATAATCTTTTTTATTTGAGTAATTTAGCTGTAATGCGGAAATAAAGCGGGAAAGTAAATTAAGAAGAGAGATAAATGACGATTTGGTTGCGCGACATGAATATGCATGTGCACTTATATGCCGTTTCGTTATTGAGTTTCGTGTATTTCGCAAACGTCATGCAAACTCGGGCAAATCAAATTTCAGAGGCATCCCGACCCCGGGATTCGGATATCTAAAAGGTGCATGCAAATGCGAATATGCGGAAACACCTTGGGGAGGGTTGGATACCGGTCGGAAGCGTACGAATATAGAGGAAACGAGAGGAAACGGTAGATATCCTGATGATCCCCTGCCCCCTCCCCCTGCAATTTATGTGTGAGCGAAGATACGACAGATTCTCTCTATAAATCGTCGAATAACAAATCAATGAGGACGCTTTTATTTGCGCGGTGCGACCAGCGGCTTTTATATCCTTGCCGAGCGGATACGGTAAAATATACGAGATATCTATATATACCTCGTCGCTGTTTCCCGTCGGTCGCATATTTCCCTAACGAACTCGTAACCGATACTTTTGAGGCAAAAATATCCATTCCTATTCTCTATACTCCTCCGCAATTTCCAATTAAATTTCCGCTCAAGAAAATCCCGTTTTAAGCAAAAAAGTACGTAGCGCGAATACGTGGTCGATAATAAAATCCATTGTTATACGAAAAAAACCTATTTTACGTCTATCTTACACGAAGGAAATAATAAGTTTGAATAAAATAATTTGATAATAAAATTATTTTCAAATCTATATCTGGCCAAATTTTTAGATATCAAAGCTGTTCTTTCCATGGCTTTGTAAAATATAACGCTAACGAAATACCAAAACGATTTCCACCGACTGCGTAGCCGATTGTTTTATATATATATATATTCAGAAATTCTATCGATTTTATTTTTGATTTATTCAAAGACTTTTTTAATTCGCTGAAGAAAGTGTAGAGAAGCTAGTTTAAAAATCTATTCAGAGATAGATTTGAAGATAATTTTATCGGATCAAAATTATTATATAATACGCTTAAGCATAATAATAATGCTGCAAAAATTTCTAATATAGTAACAATTTGAACACTGTACATAATAATTTTAAAGGTTCAACAAAATTATTTTCTGATATCTGTATCTGGCCATATTTTTACATATGCTAGCAAAACTGTTCTCTTCGTACAAATAAGGGAGCTTCTTCAATTTCCCATTTGAAAAAATATCGTTCTCTGCGTCATTTTGCACGAACCGTTATTTTCTTCCCCTGTACGTTGATGCGATCGAGTCGATACCCTCGTGCAACAACGACCCGTATGCAGATGCCTTCTCAAGCGCACACGCAAGACAGTACCCGCATCAAGAGCACCCTTGCACGATTCTTGTAGAACCCTCGACAATGCAGCCCGCGGTTTCCCTTTAAATTAAAAAAAAAAAAAAAAAAAAAAAAAAAAAAAAAAAAAAATCTACGCTCTCGGCTTGGAAGAGTACCAAGATTCTTGCTACAGAGGTCGTCAACATCCTCTTTCGCGTAGAATTGTAGCCACCGTTATTCCTGAAATCTCGTTTCATCCCCTTGTTCATGTCTTCGCCCAATCCACGCGTACAAGGCGTACAAGAACATGCGTTCGATCGAGTGTTGTGTTTCGAGCATGTCCGTTAAAAAGTTCGCCCGAGGATGGACTAGATAAGATATTCACCGAGGGTGATCTTCGAGGGACATCAGGCTGATTAAATACTTGGCCACTTGCAAGGGTGGCAGATGAGCAATGAGGTAAAAAACACTTTTAGAGAGAAAGAAAGAGAGAAATTGCATTTTGTGAAATTTGTTTTAGTTGCTACTTCTTAATCCTTCGTGTTTCTGTAAATTTACGAACGCTTATTCTCTCCTGCAAAAGTTCTAATTATTTTGAATTTTCTCATATACTCGATTCTATTTTACAATCTTACGTCGTTCTTACAGCGAGGAAAACATTACAATCTTTCAAAAGACTTCTTCGGACGTGCAAAACGAAGGGTTTCTTCCGTTTCGCTCTTCCGATTGCTGGAAAACTCGAGTCTCTTACTATGAAATATTGGCTTCATTTCCGGATCCTGAACGAGCGCAGCGCGTTACTTTCGAATAAGTGGATTAAAAGGATTTGAATAAGGCGATTAAAAAGTTTTTGCCGGTTTGTAAAGCGAACAAAATACTAACAAAGGTGGGAAAGCAGAAGGGGTGGTTTACGCTAAAATTTATATCGGGAACACGAGAGACTTGTTAATCGCGAATGTTGAATACAAAGTTTAATTTCCACTTGTCTTATCTCAGATTTTCACCAGAGATGATACATTTAAATTTAAAGTCTAAATCTAATCTTCGATAAAGATATCTTCTCAAATAAGACATATCCGTTTTTTAGTTGTGTGTGTGTGTGT